CGTGTTTTTTTGCAAGAATCTATTTCTTGCAATCAGAAGTTGTAGTGATCTCCACCGTCGTGAATTGTGAGTTTCGACCAAATTTGCCGTTTTGGGTTTCGTCGCTAACCGAGGGATTCGCGAAAGCTTACAATACGGCTAACTTTGATACACCAAGCTCATTAGGCAAAGCATTCGTTGAAGGCACATGAAAAAGCGAAGATTAATTTAGGCTCTCCCCAAGGAGAGCTCCGTTTTAACCTATTGTAATATTTCAAAATGAAATTTCAATACAATTTTTTTGTGTTGTTGTGTCCCGTGACTGTTAATTAGCTGTACTAAGCCACACATTACCTGTGCGGTGGTAGCCTTCCGTGAAAAGTACCACGAGCGCCACATATACTCGTCCAAATAGCCATCGAGTGCACTCTTTGTCATACCTCGCATGACTTTGACGTGACGCTTAATGTGGATCTCCCACAGGCCTTCTATAGTGTTTGTATGCGTTCCAGTCTCTGGATCCACGTAGTGTTCTGTATGGTTCACATACTTGTGCGTATAGTTCAAATCCCGAAGAGAAGGATGGTTGGCGAGCGTTCTGATGTGCACGCCGCGCTTAGTCTTTCGCTCGGTGACGTATGTGGCAAACATGTCCGAGTGAATTATTGTTATTTACAAAAATCAAGTTAATAAATACAGTGATTCATATGTCATAAAGTATTGATCATAATATCGTACCCGGACTTGATAAACTTCCGAATGACGGGAAATAGCTTCTTCTGGGTTCTATCCGCGTCAACAATTCGACCAAACCACTGTCCTGTAGACCGGTCCACTCCACCAAAGAGCCAATAGTCCGGGAATCGTCGCCCACGATTGTGTTTGCTCTTTTTTAGGCTTGTTTCGTCAATTTCTACAATGTGGCCCACACCACCAATCTACAAGTACCGTAGCCATACATGTTAAGAGCACTAATACACATTTGAACAGCATATGAGCAGTACCTGAAATTGATCACTGAGCAGCTGCTTCGAACAGAGACAACGTACGTAGCCGTACCAGTCCTCCACCGTAGTCGTCGACACGTCCGCTATCTCCGCCGCGTGTGCGTGCGATGCACGCATGCACCATGCATACAATAGCCAAGCAGCTTGGGCTAGCGACTGTTTCATCCCAGAAAACCAAGTATTAGTTAATATACTCAAACTTACCTCCCTTCCGTCATCGTTGCATTTCTTGCGGCAGCACCGCCAGTGTTTCGTCTTCCCGGAAACTCTTAAACGCATCGGGCGCTGGCAGCCTGGACAATACATAGCGCTTTCTAGAAGTCCTGCTTGTTGCCACCACGCTACAGCCCCAACCTCGTCGCTCGTCGCCTCAATGATTGGGGTGAAGGTGAAGTGCTCCACGTTGTGGAGAGCATAGTGATGGCTGGCTGCGCTAGTCATGATGCGGAGGGAGGCTGGCAGAGTCTGGTGCGGTGCGAATACTTTGCAAAGTGAGGGAGTAAGCGTGCTGGCTGAACGCGTGGCAGGAAGGGAGCGGGGGTATTCTTGCGTTTACATACAAATGGCTAGCAATTTATTTTTACATACATCGTGTAAATGTCGTAGAAAACGGGGGCGTAACCCTGTTATTTGCCATTTTGAGTCGTGAGCAAATCTTGTGTGACGCACACTGGTCAAATCACAAACTATGAACATTTCATTTTGAAATATTACAATAGGAGAAAACGGAGCTCTCCTTGGGGAGAGCCTTAATTTATGAAGTAAAGATCAGAAGAGGTGGCAACCCAGTTTTAAGAACCAAATTTCGAAAGGACGGCGGCAATTTTATAAAGCAGGATGGAAACTTGTTTAAGGTACAGCCTTCAGCGATGCCAGGGCTCTATACTTTATAAGTACAAAATAGAGGACCACCACAAAAACGTTTCTTCACCAGCCACCAATACCAGAAAAAAAAATCAGAGTTGTCCTGTCCTGTACTCATTCGCGGTTCGTAAACAGAAAAAATAGCGGAATTTGAATTGTACTGACAGTGTCCTCTCACCGCGATGTTGCTCCGAAGTAGGCTTGTCACAAATTACTTCCTGTTTACGAACCAAGGCAAATAAAACTGGCAGCTTACTGTACAATTGCTGAAGCGACACGCGGTCCGGCATAACTTCATTATCCAGCAGGGCAAGACTCCAATGCTGAACCCAATCTCGGCGGTTTTCTTTCTGATCATCATGTCTTTCATCGTCGGTTTGCCGCTGTTCATACTTACAGGAGGGCTCGCACCTAAGTGATCTTAAGTGGACAAGTACGGCTGGGTATCCACGTAAGACGAACACGTAAGACGAACACGTGGAAGCAACTATTGCTGATTGGACTACATGTGCAGGGTGCTTTTACGGAACACCGGTACGTAATATTACTTCGTAATATAAGATACCTGTGCACGGTTGGTACTGTAATTTCGAGGTATGTTTATAATCATCCTCAGTGCGGTCTTGGGGTTGGTACAATTGAATGCAAATTGTCTATTGAAGTTTCCATTCTAGTGTCAAGTTCTCAGGGTCCACTACAGTAGCTACGGTATTTAGTCTCACTCATACTAATTTATGTGAGGTGCTGCAGACTCTGCTCACCTAAATTAGTATGAGTGTGGTTAATTATGCACTCTGACTATTTAAGGTGTGGTAGAATTAGTCACACTTAGACTAATTAATGTCTCACCCTAATTAGTCACACTAGTTTACGATTGTTAAGAAGCTGGTCTGGTTATTCTTTTGTTTTTTTGTGTGTTTGTTTGCCATATCCAATGAAACCGCTTGTCCAGCAAATTGATCTGGGAACTTCTTGATGATTACTTGAAGGTGGCTGAATAGCTGTTCAGTTCTCCATACACCATTAACATCCAGCGAGAGGCCGCATCGAATCATGGCTTTCCGAGCGTAGTTCACATTATTCTTGTCCCTTTGAGAGTTGACTTGGCGTACTGCTTTAGCAGCCAGGGACAGAAAAAATGCTTTCCTGGATTCTTAAGTTTTCCTGACCAGGTTCCATCGGACCTCTTTTTGTTTTGCCATGCCTCCTCCTCAATCAACTCGATCTTTTTCTCATTCCACATTCGACGCCACTCGTCCTTTATCTTTGCGATAACGAATGAGTCCGCCGGATGACAGAGATCCGTTGCGTTTGCTGGAAAGAAGGCTAAAGAAGCGTTTAACTTCTGAAGCTCTTCAGTACACTCGTCTTCCTCGAGGTGACCTGAGCAGTTATCTAGGAATATAGTCTTCTTGCGACCTAAACGATTCGGCTTTTGAGCTCGAGGCTCTTTCAGATACTCGCGAAAGAGACGTTTGTCCATCCAGCCCTTCGGCCCCGTACGATAACACACTCCTTCCACGTCATCCTTAACTCCACGAATTGGATAACTACGGTCTGCGTTCGTAAAAATCATCATCGGGGGCAAGATACGTGCACTTGGCCCACCGCTGATTCGCACGACCATTGTCATTCCATCCCCTCCGGATACAACATCCGCATATTTGACCTGGTTTTCGCCTCCAAAACCGAGAGTCTTGCCGTTGTCAAAATCTACAACGAAATGAGTTTCATCGATGTTTTCAATCGCATTCTCGTCATACAAACCGCTCTCAAACCCACGCTTCAACTTGCCAAGGTGATAGGCCACTTGCTTCTCAATATCTTCAACCTTCTGAGGGCTCACCAGTCGTTTACCTGTTGCCGCACGAAGTACTATGTTGTTGTTCTCCATAAAGGTTTGCACCCAGCGTGAAGTGATCTTTGTTAACAGCTCAGCCCCGTTCTCATCAGCCTTTGGAGCTTGAGGATCCTGGAGGATACGCTTAGCTACTTGACGTAGCAAGGATGCGTCGAACTTCAACCCCAATTTACGTAATCGATCAAACTCGCTTAGCAACAAAGGATATATCCAGCGCACCCACTTGCTCCGAGGACGACCTCGGCCGGACAAAGCCTTAGAGTTCACTCGCTTTCTTCTATCTGATCGTAAACTCGACAGTGACACAGAACCCCGGAGTGGCGCTTGAAGTTGTTATCGATTCTTCCACCAGGCCATCGCTTTGCTAAGGTTAGCATTGCGAGTAGACGAGTTAAAAATATCAGGCAATTGATCTACAGCTCTCGCGAACATGTTCTTCGCTCCCTTTGCTTTTTCATATTCTTCCATCCAGGAGATGACACGACGGCGATGCTGGATGGTGGTAACCTGTTGTGACGCTCGAGATGATATTGACGTTGGCAACTCAGTCACGACCACATTGGAAATAGAGATTATGTTGTCTTCAGAGCTCTCTTTTGAGTCGTCATCGTTGGCATCATCCTTCGAAGAGATCGAATCTTTTGCTCCCTGTAGCGCGAAAGCTTTTAAGATAGGAGGAGCTGACATAGCTTGAGGTTTGCCTGAATCACAGTCCGGACAGAGAACATGCTGTCCAAAGCCCTCTTGTCCGACAGGCTTCCCACAAAATGGGTGCATATGAACAGAGCAGATTGGGCAGACGTGAATAGGACCAACGAGGTCACCACAGCCACCACACGGGGAAAGCTGAGCTGAGTTGGAGCTCATTAAAAGACAGTTCTTAGAGGGAGAAGAGGCGTTGGTGTGTTGGAAGAATTTCTGGAATGAGAATAGACCACATTAGCCTCCAAGAGACGCAGTCACATAAAAATAGCATTTCCAATTATAAAATATCAAATACTCTTCAAATAAGCTTAAGGAAACTGCATAGCTATTATTCTATTAAAAGTATAATTCATATCCTTAAAAAACATAACCCGCTGCTTCGTAGTGAGCCGCGTTGAGGGTAAGTGGGAAACCCACTTTTATTAAATGACCTGTTATTGCATCACCAGTAAAACGCGAGCACCGTCCGTTGCTGCTGAGGGACTCGAACTCACGCCAGGGGTGTAAACCGGGCCAGTCTTTTCCACTGCATGACCAAGGTGATAGTAATTATGAACTCAGACTAATTTTGAACACGACATTTTCTTGCTCACGGTAATTGGTCTCACATTCGAACGGTGTGACTAATTTCGAACTGTGACTATTTATTCACACAGACTAATTACCGTGGACACTGTACTGCCGCCTTCACTCAACACCGTCCGTCTGTCGGAATCGCTTGAGAATGCCCATAAAAAAGGCTTTACGGTTATTCACTTTGTCACTGACGCAGCGGTTGTACTCTTCAAGCGCCTTCTTGGCCGTCTCATAGTCGAACCACGACAAGAAATCGATCATGCGGTCGTCCACGTCCTCCTGCTTAAGTTTGTACTCCTTCCCGTCAATGTGTTTCTGGATCAGCGCCTTGGTCTTCTCCACCTGCACGTTGCTCTGTTTCTTCCGCAACAAGTCAATCTTGTTGCGTCGGTTCTCCGACTTGTTGCCGCCGCCGCTGGCTGTCAACTCGACGTTGATGCGACGTCCTTGGAGCAGCGTGTGGTGACGAGAGAGCGCGGCTCCCAGTGCCTTGCTGTCCTTTACCTCGATAAAAGCCGTACCCTTGAACCTTTTCGTCTTCTTGTCCGTTAGCATACGCAGTTTAATCTCACCGGCCTCCGAGAAGTGGCTACGCACCATTTCTTCGGTGGCTTTGTACGGTAGTTGGCCCACGAACAGCGTCAGATGGATACTTTTGCGGTTAATAGCGTCTTCATCTTGTGTCTCTTTCTTCTTGTGTTTCTTCTGCGGGGGCTTCTTATCTTCCACTCCGTCAGCCTTGCGCTTGGCTTGGCGCTTAAGAAGTCGGCGCTGCTGAGCGTTTAAGTTCGGGTCGTCATCGGCGGGTGTAGCCACATTAGCGGATTCAGGTGTAGCCACTTTGGCCTTGGCCTCATCTCCAGTCACAACGTCTTCAGTTTTCTGCCTAGCTAGTCGCGCCAGACGCCGCCGTTCCTTGGCATTCAACTGCTCGCCATCTGCAACAGCTGAACTTGCAGTCTCGGGCTCCACAGTCTCAGTCTGCTCTTGCTTTACCTCCTGCTCAACGAAATCGTCGTCCTTAGTGCTGACGACTTCTTCCTGTTGACGCTGCTGCTCGCGCAGAAGCTTGCGGCGCTGCTTGGCGTTGAGCATTGGTGCAACTTCGTCCATCGTCCAGCAAATTAACAAGTCAGCCAAGATTGATTGGCTGACGTAGATAGAAACGTTTCTACTTTAAAATGGCTACATTGATCAACATGGCTTCACCACTGGAAGCGAGTTGCAGTGTATGTCGGGTCTAGCTGTGTATTGCCTAGAAGTCTGTCCAGCACTTCTGCGTTGATGTGTAGATCCTCCTCAGCATTACTCCAAGCGTCTACTTCGAGCTGTTTGGCATGGACACCTCCCGCGATTAAAACACTGTCGATCCCGACATTTTTTGCTCCTTGGATGTCGTGGTGGAGCGAGTCGCCAATGTGCACAACCTTCGCCTTGTCGGTCACATGTGCCAGTCTTAAGCACGCTTCGAAGTGCTCCTTCGCTGGTTTCCCAAAGCAAACCACCTCGCCACCCATTTCTTCGTACAGTTTGGCGATGCCGCCGCCCATGTACACGAAGCGGTCGTTCTCCACAACACCTACGGCATCTGCGTTCGGACACAGCAGTGGCAGTTTGCGTTCTAGGCCGCCTCTAAGAAACTCGTTGATAGCATCGTTGGGTGTGTTGGTATGGCGATAGTCTGTAGCCAAGGCCTCAGCCACGCGATCACTGTAGCAAACCTGTCGCACGCCTTCCACCATGAGAAACTGAGCTTGGTCAAGTCCCACAATCTCCACATCCAGGCCGTTGAAAATCGAGTCGACGTTCGCCTTCGAGATCATGTTGGCCAGATCGTGAGCCATGACGGAGCAACGCGAATGTGTGGTGCGTCGCTCCTTGACGTATTCGTGACACACATCGCCGCCGGTGACGCCCTGGAAATCAGTCGAGAACCCCATGGCCCCGAGCTTGGTCGGCAGTCTAGAAGATCGATTGGCAGTGTTGGACACGAGCACCACTCGCTTCCCTGCTTCGACCATGCGGTTGAAGCAGTCGACAGCTCCGATCATCGGTTGTGTGCCATTGTGAAGCACCCCATACTGGTCGACGAGCACCACGTCGTACTTGGCTAACACGTGGGACAGACCCTTGACTATCTGCAGCGAATCAATGTGGAAATGGTTCCTTTTAATCCCCCTTCGTTGCCAGGGAAGGCCATGCAAGACGAGTCTTACCTTCGTCATCCTTGCGTGAACCACATATCTATACCTGAACAAGCTTAGAAGTCGTACTTCACGGTACTTGTGGATCCTCAAAAATGGATCCGTCGAGCTACAATGTACACATTCCTGTTTCAAGCCTCGAATCGCTCAGAAGACAATACTTCGCAGTGATGGTTCTATTGGCCCAAGAGCTCTTGACGTCTGCGCTATTGATATGAATAATAGTGAGTGCAATTATTGCACTTATAGCTCCAAGTGTACAGAGTTTTTGTATTTTGCGGCTATGTTCACTTTGATAAGACTTTGTACTGGTTGGTCAAACAGAGTCTTCAGATGACCCTGTGGCGCAATGGATAGCGCATCTGACTTCTAATCAGGGGGTTGTGGGTTCGAGTCCCATCAGGGTCGATAGTTTTGAGTTTGTCACGATGGGCGAAAAGCTTTGATTATACTTTGTGTACAGTGCTACAAGCTGTAGTATGAATACCTGACAGTGTCAGTGACACTGCTGCTGGGATATCCCAACATGGGTTCAAGGCCGAAAATGCTAAAGAGACCTACGTACCGGTATGTTATTGCTATTCATGTCAAGCAGTTAAAGGTTTTTTTCTACTTGATATAATACTTTGTTTGAAAAAGTTCAAGTTTTTAGGCAAAACTACTGCTCGTCTATTGAACGTGGGACCAGGTACGCTGACACCTACTTCGAAGTAGAGAGTATTGGTCCACTCATCCTCTCGCCGCCTTCTGGGCGCGATAAGCGGCCTCCTTGCCTTCAGCACGGTATTTGGCCTTCTTCTCCGCCTTGTGCACGCCTTCAAACTGCTTCTCCTCACGCTGCTTGCGCTTCAAGTTCTCGGCATTGCGCTGACTCTGACGCTCCTTACGCGTGGCCTCACGGTCCCGACGCACCGTGTTGACTCGCAGCATAAAGCCATACTTCTTCTTCTCCTCCGGCTCCAGCGCCACTACCCGACTAGCCAGATATCCCTTCTTCACTCCCTTCTTCTTGTCTTCCTTGGGTTTACTGGCAAACGGTAAGTTGGCCTGCAGTTTCTTGGACACCTTCAGGGCTGAGAACTTACGCTCCGTACGCACAATAGGCTTGTACAGTGAATCCGGGTTGACAGGTACAGCCAGTTTCTGCTCCTTACGCAGCTCGTACGTGGTCTTCATGAGGCCTAGCGTGCTCTTCTTGGAGCCCTTGACATTCGTGAGAAGAGACGTCACCGGGTTGTACAACTGCTTCGGCTCCACAGGCACCCACGTGCGACAGAAGACGAGGTCGCTCTTGAGAATCTTGTCCTCAAACGTGGCACGGAAGTCTCCCTTCTCGCCACGCAGCGCCTTCTTGATACGACCACGCACTCCACTGACAGTGCGAACACTTGCTCCTTCGAACTTGGCTACTTCCAGCTCCGTGTTGAACATTCCCTTGATAAAGGCCGTGTTCTTGTGGATCTTGTTGGGCGTACCGATGAGCTTGAGTTTCTTCACCACGTTGAACTTGTGGTCCAGTTCCAGCACAACTCCAGTGCCGCTGACACGGAACCCTTCCGCGTTGTTGGACAGCGTCTGGAAGGCCAGCACACCAGTGTTAGGAGGACACATGGGGCCGAAGATTGTCGCGTGGCAATGCATATGCTCGGGTGTGTACTTCAGGTACCGGTGACGCTCATTCGTGTCTTCGATAGAGTACAGCGGCAAGCTCTGGAAGCGACGCCAGCCGATGGAGAACACCAGCGGGTCATTGGTCTTGAGGATCTTCTTGTGCCAACGATGTTTCTTGAAGCGCATACGTACAAGACCCAGAGTGTCCTCCATGTTGGGCAACCCACCCACGACGATAGGGTTCTTGGGGTCGTAGTAGCGAACGAATTCAGCAGGGACACCCGAGAACTCGATGCGGACGTAGAGACCATTACGGAAGCCTTCCAGTTGGAGACGCATGTCTTCGCCTTCTTCACCGAATTCTTCAGCGTTGCGCTGGGCCTGCTCCTCGCGAAGACGCTTAGCTTCGACCATCACTTCCATCATCTCTTCATCCTCTTCGTCCTTGTTCTTCTTCTGACCTCCAACCTCCACGTCGTCGTCGTCCTCCACTGTTCGCTTGGCTGACTTCTGCGCACGGAGCCGTTCGCGTATATGCTCGTCGGTCTCTTCTGTGTTCACTTCGTCGCTGCCGTCGTCACTATCGACGCCCTTGTGGACCTCTCCAGTCTCCAAGTCTTCGAACGATCCGTCCATGTCGTCATCGTTCATCGGGTCTGCATTGTCCTCCCCCGCTTCCTCCTCATCCTCGTCGTCATTGTCCTCGTCGCTTTTCTTCTTCTCTCGCTTCCACGAGCCAGTAACGAAGCGATTGCGAATGCCTTCAAGTACATCAGGCATCGTCCAGTCGCTCATGCCGTCTGTGCCCAGATGCAGACGCGAGCAATCCATCGCATTGATGGTATTGTACTTCTCAGACGCTGACGAGGATTCTCCCACAGAGTTCGACTTGCGCTTCAACGTGAAGAAACTGTCGTCGTCATCGTCGTCATCTGCTTTCTTGGTCCGCTTGTCCTTCTTCGCCTCTTCCTCGTTCTCCAAGTCTCGCTCTGTCATGTGGAGTTTCTGGCGCTCTCCATACACGAGCTCCATGAGGTTCACATCGCCTTGTTCTCGCTCCAGGAAGTTGGCGGCGGCACGAGACACCATGTTCTCCTTCCAGCGCAGCTGCGACTGCTCCTCCGTAACTTCTTCTTCCTCCTCCTCGTCTTCGTCTTCCTCTTCGCTCTCATCGTCACTGTCATCGTCCGAGTTGTCACCAGTCTCAACATTCTCCTCGCTCTCTTCAAACACTGCACGACGACGCATACGGCCAGAGCCGTCACGGACAATCGCCTCCTTCGGCTTACCGACGTTCGGCTCGCCGTCACTATCGTCGTCCTCGCCTTCCTCCTCCTCGTCACTGTCACTGCTGCCCTCTTCCTCGTCGCTGTCCACTTCATCCGCCCTGATAGCTGCAGTGTTCTTGAACAGCGACAGACTGGCGCCCTTCAGTCGTTCGTCCAGACCCACGTCCATCTTCTGCATGCTCTGCACCATCTCCACTCCTTCCCCGCCCAGTCCGATGCGCATGCCGCTCTTCCCGGCGCTCTCATCGTCCTCCGCGTCCTGCTCGTCCGGCACCACGTCTCCTGTGTCTGGGTTGGTGTAGTTCAGCTGACTCAGGTTGATGTACATGGCGTCTTTGTCGTACATGATGTTGCCCACATCCGACATCGGCGCGTACAGGAGCGTGTCCTTCTGAGTCAAGTGTTTCTTCTTCACTGACCCGTCTGCGCCCTTCTTACTGGACGGGACGTTGCACGGGTCTGGCATCGCTGTGACGCTATCCATGAAGAAGTCGCCAGCGCCTGCGATGTGCATCTTCATGCCTGGTTTCAAGTGAGTTCCTCGCAAGTAACCGTACAGCGTAACCCTCCGATCCACCGCGGGGTTACGTTGAACCTCGTCGGGGGCAGTGACGTCTTCGAAGCGATCCGCGAGCATGTACGCGTGCGAGTTCCTCCACGTCAGCGGTCGGAACTTCATCCTCGAGATGTACAGCGACAGGTTCTGGATCTCTCCTTTCGGATACTTGTTGGCCGAGATGCCCGAGAAGTAAAACAACTTGGCTCCCTGGTAGATCTCGGTCCAGAATCGCGCTTTGAGACGCTTCTTGGTCTTGCGCAGGCTCTTGTTCTTCTTGAAGCCGTCCAGGTGCGTGAGGATGCCCATGACCTTGGGGAATCCGACCACCTGCAGGATGTTGAGGAACTCGAACGTCTCCATCTCAAAGCCGAAGCTGGCGTCCACCAGGAGCAGCACCAGGTCGGCGATTTTGGCCAGGTCGATCATGGCGTTGAGGTCGTTGGGGCACTCGAAGAAGGTGATACGACGGTCCTTGCCGCTCACTACAGTCACCGGACCTTTCACCTCCACGAGGTTGTGGCGAGTGTAGCGCTTGACCAGCGAGCGGATGACTGTGCTCTTTCCGCTTCCTGGAGGACCCATGACGACCACCGAGATGGGCGGTGGCAGCTCCTCGGCGCGGTTAGATTGTGGCACATATTCCTTACGATGCGCGCGGTCCAAGTTGCGCTGGATGGTCTTGCGGGCACGACCAGCTTTGGCAACACCGAAGGCTTTCGGGTTCTTTCGTTGCTCAGCCAGCGACGGCTGCTCCTTTTTCTGCTTCTCAAAGGCCTTGCGCTTCTGCTTATTGACCTTGGCGCCCGACTTGGACTTGCGGTGGCCCTTGGTGCTGGCGAGCGCGTCCATGGTCAGCGGTAGTGGCGAATGACACTGACGCTGCAACTTGCGATTTTTGGTTGGCTAGGGGTGAAATGGTGTGGCGCACAAAAATTGAGAAGACTGGTGTAGTGGACATGATGTTGAAGTGAAAACTTTATTCTTGAAGGTGACGATATTTTTCAAGCGTGATACGTATAATATTGCTGCTAGGGCGATTGAATCGATGGGGTGGGGGCCTGCATCACCATCCAAGCATGGTGTAGTTCTTCCCATGGAACTTTTCCAGTCCTAGGAGCTGGCCACTCCTATTGTGCCTTTAACCATAGGCCTTAGTCTCCAGGTTAAAAAGCTCAAAGCTGGTGGTGGATACGTAGAAGAAGCTGCCATTCATGTGGATATAAAAACGTATTGGTTAAGTATGAGATGAAAAAATAGGACTGATGCATTCGATCAAACACGCAAGGCTACTCGGCCGTTTTCCAACGTGCCACTACCAGTCTAACTGCTACAACATTTAGTTTCCTAACTGATCTTGCTTGCAACTCTTGTTCTGGACTCCTGTGATGCTCGCGCAAGCAGCGCACAGTCGCAGCTTGCGACGGCACCTGGGATCTCGCGTGTGAGTTTCAACACACCTTTTCGGGCGGTCAATTAGCGCCTATGAGCATCTCAAGTCTGCGCAGTTTGTTGAGGCGCGGAGCTGGAAGTGTCTTGGTGAGAATATCCGCACGTATCTCCTTGAACTACACGACTTTCAGCAGCGTCTTCTTTACAAAGTCCTTAATAAACTTAAATCCTACGCCGATATATTTGGCGCGTCCTGATATGTCATCTCCTTCGATCTGAGCAAAGGTCGCTTGGTTGCTGACGTGCAATATGATCTGCTCGCGAATCTCGTCCAGTAACTCGATTATACCAAGTATTTCAGCGTCTACGACGCAGCGACGAATTCAGCTTCCATGGTAGATAGCGCAACGCAGCTCTGCTTCTTGCAACGTCATCCAAAAACAATACCCACCACCATCAGCACACCTCCGGTGGTCTACTTTCGGTCACTTTTGTCTGCCACATAGTCGGCGTCGCTGTACGCCTCTGCGAGGACTCCATTTTCGCTCATCGCGCCGCTGTCACCGTTCATTACTAACTTGTACTGTTTGTCTTCCTTCAGCTGTACGGGAGTTTTGGGTCGCTCGGTCGACGGCAAAGACAATATATGGATGAATATGATTAGCTATCGGACCATACTTAATTTTTGTATGACCTCTGGGCACCTATAAATGGCCAATCACATCATTTCTACGCATTTCAACCAATGGCCGAAGCTTCACTCAACATTTTTGTCCAATAATTTCGCCTAGGGTTAGGTGAGTCCTCTAAGCCATTCGATCGGACGTATCGAGTGGAAGCGATGGGCCTGGACGAGCTCCAGCCTGGCAACACTTTGAGGGCCAAGGCTACAGCGTTATCTGCCTTCAAGAAATTTCTGAAGGCAGAGGGCGTTGTAGAGGAGTACGTAAGAAAATGCATTGAGCGCGATGTCAGTGGAAGATGTTTTGTATCTGTAATTGATAAGTTTGGAATGCATCTTGCATTTAGTAAAGGCAAAAAGGGCAAACCTTTAGCTAGAAATACGGCCATGCAGTACTATCGGCAAGCCAAGCTTTGGCTGCTTGACCAGTTTCCCCAGCATCGTGCGTCTTTAGAGACCCGATTGCTTAAAATGGGGAAAACGCTTGACAGATTCTGTTTGAAGCGCGAGGGTGGTGGTTTCGTTAACAAAGCACCTCCATGTACGAAGTCCGATTTAAACCAAATGCTTGTATATTTGTATACCAATGCTTCCTGTGATACTGACTACCAAGATGCTGCTCTGCTTTGTCTTCTTTGGTACATCTTCGGTCGCGCGTCGGACTTGTCGATGCTGCGGAAGCGGAACGTCAGCGTCGACGCGGGCGGCGTACTCTTCTTGCGTCTGATCAGGGTGAAGACGAGCGAGGAGCAGGGGCTCTCGCTTTTCCCGGACGAGGAGTTCCTCACGTGTCCGTTGCTGGCCTTGGCTCTTGCCTTGATTGTCCAGCGAGCGCCCTCGGATGACTTGGTCGGCAACCTTCCCCGCCAAGAAACCTTGACAACGGCCACGATCTCCGACGATGTATCGCTCGTCGAGCTTCTGAATGCCCCCGCCGCGCCATCGACACTCTCTGTCCCAGCCACCAAAGGAACGCCGTCGACGCCGACGGTGTACTCGCACGTCAACCGCGTCTTGGAGCGGATCGCCCCAGCTGCTGGCGTCACGAAGGCACTCAGTTCGCACTCGTTTCGCCGCGGGGGAGCTCAACACGCGAACGGCTCTGAGGGATTGACGGACCGCTGGATCTTCGACCGAGGTTCCTGAAACATGAGCACAACGAACAAGGGTTTCAACTACATCTTCAACACGAGCAAGGAGGATCACAAGGTAGCCAAAGTCCTCGCAGGATACGAACCGAAGACGAAGGTGAAACTCCAGGACCTCAGCAGCTTCGACTCCCAGACACTTGAGCAGATCAAGCGCGTACAGGGCGTGATGTTCACGTCCTGCAGCAACCTCGCAACCTCCAGCTTCTACGTCAATGAGCAGGTCGTGGACATCCTGACTGCGGCCGTCTTCCGATACTTCCCGCTGTTGAAGGAGCTGAGCCACAGCAGTCCAGTCGTCACGCGGGTCGAAAGTGCTGTGCGAAGCGGTGGAAGCACGCTGGCGAATCTTCTTGCTTGGTCTGCGCATCTCTCGCTAGCAGCCGAACCCTGTAACAACAAGCAAACTCCGGAGAACGACACTACCCACCAAGCACAGCAAACGAAGGAGCAGAAGATCATCGATCACCAAGCTTCTGTGATTAAGCACTTAATTAACATGTCGAAGCGGCAAGACGAGCGGATGGACGCTCTGGAGGCCAAGCTGAACAACGATCCTGTCCTGACCATTAAGCGCAACAAGCCAAGTGAAAAAGAGGGAGAGCAAGAAGTCAGCACACCAAAGAAGAAGCAGCGCAGGAGTGGGGCAACTCACCTTCACGCCACTTGGTTTGCTTGGTATGCCCATGAGCCACGATGGCACGCGAGCGAGCCCAAGCGACAGCGCTCGAACGCGAAGCTGCTGGTTGCGTACATAAAGCTGTTCTTGGCCGACGGATTTGGGCTGGATCCAAGCGCTGCCAGCTACCGCGACGACGTCCTTGCCCTCGGTTTGCGCGCAAAGAAAGAAGCTCTCTCCCTCCTGGCTCAGCATAAGATCGCGTCGCGCGGGTCCAGTTCCGTCCTCAAGCATCTCCAGGCCCTGCACAAGGCTGGCGCACTCAACCACCAAATAGAGCGCCACCAGCGTCTGCTCCAGTCGGCAGCTATCCAAGATCCTGCACCCGGCTACACACAAGACGTCGTTGAGTTAGTTGGTTAGATGCATCACTAGCACAGCAAACAATACACGTTAGTCAACCTTTGAACAACGCAAAACAACACGTAGTATTTGTCAGACTATCAGAACAAAGAGTAGGGACAAACCGCACTGCAGCAGGGGAGGGGGGCACGAGCGCGGGCAGCAGCATGAGCAGCAGGCACGGCACAAACACGGGGTCAGCAGCGTGGGCAACAGGCGCGGTACGAGAACGGCTGCAGCAGCGCGGGCAGCAGGAGCAGCACGGGTGCGGAACAACCTCCACCCCCAGCAGACGCGAGGAGCGATGAACCCAGCCGGAGTTGAACCGGTGTTCAGGACGGATCCTGCGCTCTAATTCTAGAGCTTCTGGGTCCGATGAACGGGGGGGGCGGAGGCTTGCCAGGTACGGAGTGAAAAAGACCGAATGAGCGAAGAAGGCTGTTGTCGGCACGACCCTTCAGCTTGTGGCCATCCACTGGCCACGTGTCTTTCCACCTTGTATGAGGCAGCATCTCATTGGTGGATTATTAGCCAATAGCGGCAAGCATCAATGGCTGGCTGAAAAGTGAATGCTTTCAATAGTGGACCCCGGCGCTGGATCATTGTTAAATTTACCGGCTCGAGAGCGCATGGCTCTCGGTCAATAATTGCATGTTTTTTCCTTTTTCTCGTTTTTCTCAGCTTACAGGCCGTTTCAAGCCTGAGACTGCGCCTATCAACAGGGCCCTTTTCATCGTTTGTCAGGTTGCAAAGCATCCACACCTTCCCAACCTATCTCCCCTGATCACTTTAGTACTACACACCAATGTATCCATCCCATCATGTACCACTCGCTTGGTACAGGTCCTACAGGTCCGAGGGTCCGATATTTTTTGGTATGGTCGAGTACACCGAGCGATCCACAATAAGCTCTCAACTTGGGACTGGAAGATCTGTACAGTAGGTTGCTCCGGTGTCTCTGGCCCGTCGCCTGGTAGCAGCTTGCCAGCGTATCCCCCGTCTGGCTTTTTTTCAATCGGCACACGAGCTGGCGCGGCCTTGTCCAGCTTGATTTATTTAACATCTCTTGAATGTGTTGCTCTTTTTTGTCGACGGTCCAGCCAGTGGTTTCATCGTACTTGACTGCAATACCGAGAAATGTCAATACGACGCTTAAATCCTTGAGCTCCACGACCTGCATTTCCTAAAAAAATTCGTCCACTCTGCTCATACTAGTACCTGTCACCAACAGGTCGTCGAAGTAGACACCCACCAGCGTCCTTCCATAGTCCTCCACCTTGATGTAGATGCAGCTGTCCGTGTAGCACTGGCGAAAATCGATATGACTCAAGCATTTCTTGTAGCAGGAGATTCCACAGTCTTCCCGATTGATTTAAGCCGTCGACACTCTTCTCCAGACGCAACGTCAACTTTATATTGCCCTTTACACCGAAAAGCTTGAGTAGTGTATCGCTGATTGTCATTTTTAGCGGAAAATGAAGCAGGATCTCAATGATGCTCTCCTTGTCTGCCTTGACGTACGCGCTTGGGATGTCTCCATGTCGCGCAGGCACCTTCCAAGTTTGCGACACTACCAGAATCACTTTCCCGGATGTCAATACGAGCCCTGCCGATAACTTTATACGTATTGCTTACCCCATACTCTTCCTGGTCAGCACGGACCACCAAGCGCGCCTTGTATCATTTGATGGAGCTGTCTACGTGTTGTTTTAGCTTAAATACCCACTTAGTGTGCAGTAGCTTAGCATAACTTGGCTTCTTGACCAGCATTTACGTGTCGTTCTGTTTCAGATACTCAATCCTTTAGCAAATTGCCTGCTTCCTCTTCTCCACTCCCGGGTCTTTCATAGTTTCGCAGTAGTTTTGCGGGTCCTTGAGCGTGGCTGCGCTCACTCTGACTACTAGCACGTGCTTCGCTCCCACAAACCTTATGCGATCGCGGGCTTCGCGCTCTTCGTCAGATGACAGATCCTAGTCTCCATCTCCTTCCGACCCGCAGCATCTTTGCGTACTGCTGCTTTAGTCTTGCTGGCCTTCTTGTGTGCCTTTTTTATTTTTTCGACTGCCACCTTTTTTATCTTCTTGGCTAATCTCTTCCTGGCGTTTTGGGACTGTTTACTTTTTCTTAGCAAAAATCGGTGGATTTACACTGCTGATTGGGACTTTGTTCCTTTCTCTTCGAGGTCTACTCACGCAGCTCAGATGAGCGTCGCAGCTCGGGGAGCCCGCGTTCGAGCTCCGTTTCCAGCTGCGCATTCTGCTTACTGTCGAGTGTTTCTTTATTCCTAGTGTGTTACGTGGTAATGACGATCCTGTCCTTTGACAAATACATCTGGAATCCCTTGGTCTCGTCATATTTGTCGCCAATCACACCAACGGAGCACGTGACTTCCATGCTGTCTCCCCTGGGTCACGAAATGCAGTGCACGGAGTGCCGAAAGCCACAAATGACCGCCACATTGGGTACAGTTCCCGTCAGCGGGGGCATGCGTTTTGGGTTAGCGCTACACAGGCTCCCATTATGCACGTAGGCAGCGTACTTCACAGTATCATCCCAGAAGTACAGCGGTACCCCGATCGCGAACAGCACACATCGCGCCATGTTGAGCACAGACCGGTGCATTCTTTCTGTCTTGCCGTTGGACGCCTGATTCTCTGCCTCGAACATTTGTCACCTGAACGCCTGATTCCTTACAAAACGGGTCAACGTTCACATACGCGTTCCGCCGTCGGTACAAAGCACAAGAATCTGACAGTTGAACCGCTTTTCAAAATAAGACGTGAGCTGCTTGAAGCTCTTTATTGCCCCGCCTTGTTCCTGGCTAAAAAGACATGCTCATAGTTCGTCGAGTAATCCCCAGAGTGGATTCGATAGCGAGACCCTTGTCGGCTAATCGGCGCCATAGGGCCCTTGATATCACTAATAATCACACCGACCAATCTTGTTGATCAAACGTTCGTGCCGGACTCCTTCTTTAGCTGAACTTTCGTCCGAAGCATAGATTTACTTAAAAAGGAAAGCAAAGCCGATTTCCGGTAAAAAAGAGAACTCTTTATTTATTTGGGTTTTCCTCCTAATATAACATTCTAAATGAACAACGAATGGCTGACAGAATCCTATTATTCTAATTGGTTGAAGATATTGACTTTCAACTAATGAATGCCTTGAAATGCATGCAGACCAACAGCTGCCAAATGTAACCATTTGTGTATCTCACACCAATGTGGAAAACTGTTTTCGTAACCAAGTGGCTGCGTTTAGCCACTTTGCGTGTAACCTCGTTACAGGAGGGGCTCTGTCCGTCAGCCTGATTACTGCATCAGCCATTCACGCCACTGTGCCATAAGCAAGGTGACCGCTCGTGCAGCTTCTTCAGCGTCGTCACGGCTGTGGCGATCGCGAGCTCCTCGCCGGCAACACGCATCCCGTGCCTTCGCCCCCCCCCTTTGACGTCGACTACCAAAACATGTCATTACGACGCGGACTATCATCCGTCTCTTGCACAGCGTAGCTCCTCCCATTGGCTACCGCATTCTTTAAGCCTGCTCTAGCAAATGGTCGTAGCAGTTAGATTGGTGGTGGTACGTTGGAAAACGACCGAGTGGCCTTGCATGTTTGATCAAATGCACCAGTCCTAACTTTTTTATCGCGTGCTCAAGCAACAATTTCCTACAGGTTATGAGCCCAATAATCACTGACAAAATCTCGAAACACCGTAAATCGGTCGGCGGTATCCCCAACACCGACGTGCACGACGTGATCGAGTCGTCCGACCAGTTTGAGCTGCTTGAGGGCGCTCACTCGATACTGAGTGTGTATAAGGCGGGATTTCGATGCAAGTTGTAAGCGGCTAGATTGACTTGAAGGATTCCTCGAAGTGATGGGTTGTCAGCAGGCTCAAATTTTGGTCAATCCGATCAAGACCTAAACTGAGCTGAAAGACGGATGGATTATCGAGTGCAAAGTAGGCTTGAGGTGCTGAACGTGGGCGATATGGTCAAATGACAGCGTCTAGGACACACTCGAATGTAAAGGGAGCTTTAAGGGAGTATATTGACGACGGGCTGCGCTTTCAGTTAATTAATAGCTGCTCGATGCCTTGTACTAATTAAATTTCGACTAGTATCCTGCACAGGACATATCAACTTCGCCATCTACTTGTTAAGTCCATTTTCGTGGTATATACTTTGTGACAAGGCTGCCGCAGCGATAAAGACTGACACTTTCATTTTTAGGCGTTAACAGACTTGACGATTTTGTAGTTGCACTCGATAATCCACCAAAGTGCACTCGAAAACCATCTTGCCCCTTCTCGTGTCCTCGAGGAATACCTCACGACGTCCTCTCACGAATACCTTCTGGGCATGCGGTCGCATGTGCAGGGCATCAAAAACCTGTATCCATAATAATAATTACCGTAGCTTACTGCAATAACGAATTGACCCCCTAACCTCAATTTCTTACAAACATTATATATAGGTCAGCCGCTTAGAGTTCGCACTTAGCTACCGTAGTTTTTATCTAAAAGTTTGCATGTTTAGCAGGTTATTATCTAAGGTAGGTAGCTGTACGCTTGGCAGAAGATTACGCAAAAACTTTGGAATTTGCCGGCGCAAGGTGGCTGTACAGGCATTCAGTTGAAAGGATGTGCGCTGCGGGAGGGTTCTAACGGTAACCCCCCGTAAACACCCCTCCTGAATCCAGTGAGCACATCAATTCCGCCCACTTCCGCGGCTTTTGCAGCCGTGAGAAATGGCAGCGACAGGGCGTAGTGATGGAATCTGCATCGGGCAATACGAAAATAACGCCGTTATTTATTGGCGGGTCTCGGGGACATCAAACAATCTCCAATTGCGTTGTGATGGTCCCTGCGCATGTGCCCCTAGCTGTACGGAGACGAGTGACTCCGAATGATTCGATCAAGAGCTACATTCCTGCACCGAAAAGAGCATTTGGGTCGGGGTTTTGGAAGGTAAATTCCGGCGGAATTCGGCGACTGTGATTGCTGTTGCGTATTCGGAAAACGCAGTAGACGATGATGTGTTAGCACCGCTTGGTGGTCCGTCAAGGAGAAGTAAAAAGCAGGGGCTGGTCCTTCGAGGAAGTTGTCGACTGGCGACCAGGAACTGTTCGTGATGTAGGACAAGCTGTAGCTGCGGAGTTTCGTTCTAGTACTCGTAAAAGATATCGGGGTGAATCGAATGACAGCGGTGCATCGGAGAACAAGAAGCACAAAAACTTCGATTTATTTAATTCAGAACACAAACGACGTTTAAAATATGCTGGCAGTTGCATGGGGTACGTGGTGTTCTTCAAACTTGGATAGCTCTCGACTAACTTGTCCAGTGGCCGAGCTGCTTATCAACATTTGTTCAAGCCAAGTAGTTTTTATTTCACGCCTCGTAGTTAAAGTGGAAAGGAAAGTCTGTCCTGCATGTAAATAGGCTCCCCAATCTTGCAAATGAAGTACTTCGACTGTACTTCAACTCTGTACTACAAATGCGCGAAAGAGGCAGGAAGCTCTAGAAATTGTTAGCCAATGACTGCGGAATGCTAACAGCTAGATTTTAGTAAAAAAAAATGTTCACATGCTGGGATGATAGTTTCAAAACATTTCGTTTTCTTTCGCAAGACGGAGCAGACCGACTGCGCCCGTGCACGCAAATGGTTGGAACGGAGCAATCTTTCGCTCTTCATCGCTGTTGTAATGTCTTTCTGACGTGGACTGTAGGAGTTTTTTTGAGCGCCTTGTGGACCGCTTGACGCGTCTCCGTCCTGGTCGAGTAGACACAGAAGACTTGCCTGCATCGCCTTGTTCAAGTTTCTCGTGCATTTGGACTCGCACTGCAGCAGTCTGCTCCTCGTCGTCCTCACTTTCATCGCTATCAAAATCAGCGCCGTAGCCATCCGAGTCATTGCCCTGGAGAGTAGTGTCCTCGAAGTGTACACGCTCCCAATCTCCATCCAAGCCATCAAGCGAGGCTTCCTCTAAGCTCTCAGCATCACCGTCGTCTACTCGACCATACGACGAGATTGTCTCCCCTTGTTCGTCAATGTCATCATGGCCAGAGATATCGTCGACGGCTTGCTCTCTTTCTGACAATTCGTCCGAGTCTGCTCCATCAGGCTTCGGTGGCGCAGCTCGAGACTGCGGAGGGAGACGTCCAAAGTCCTTTTTCCACAGCCGCAGGATGTGGATGTGGTGATCGAAAAGCATCTGAAAATGTTCTTCCGTCGAGGTCTGCTGAGTGAAATCGCGAGGCAAACGACCGAACACCATGGCAATCACCATGTCCAGCACATTCATACCCGTGCGCACGCCACCTTCCCCGCCCGGGTTACCAAATGCACTATAGCATTCTTCTTCCTCCAGTTCGGGCTCTTTCAAGTAATCGTCCAGAAGTGTCACTAACCGATTCTCGATGTCCTCTAGTTTGCGCAAAATCAAGTATTGACCGTTCGGCTTGCCGTCATGGCTCGTCATCTTCTCCAGCTTCTCTCGAAACGAGTCACGTAGACGCGTCAGCTGTGGACAAAATAGCATTAGCATGTAGGTCAGTATACCAGCATGTATCACGACTGTGTACTGTGGGAACACACCTCGTCAATTTCGTCGCTCAGTCGCTGTTGCTTCTCCTCGTACTGAGCGAATTCTTGTTCCGCTAGCACCTCCAGTTCAGCGATCACATCTCTCTTCCATCTGATATCTCTTGAGCACCTGCGCAGACAGTCCTTCAAGTACTCGACACTCTTCCACTTGGACGGATACGACAACGTGTGGAGAAATTCATGCAGCGGCACATCATCAATCTCCGTCGGGTAGTCCACCATGGCAAAGAGGTCATCCGGATACGCTGCATGCAGATTATCCAGCATCGCCCGCGAAGTTCCGTAAGTACAGTGGAAGCACAACTCTGTAATAGAACACAGTGCAAAGAGTTAGGCTTCGCAGCTTTCCAGATTCGCAATGGGTCACCGTAAAATTCATGGCCAGCTTACTCTGTTCAAACAGCACCTCCGCCAATTGGGAGAAATGCTGGTGCAATGTTGCTTTGACTCTGCGGAATACTTCCATCATGTCCAGCTCTTGCTCGTCCTCCTTGGAGACGGGAAAGTGGTGGCGTTGAACCCTCGTGAGATTGACGATGAGCCTCGGAAAGTCGTCAGGTAGGTCCGGTGTCGTCTCCTGCTCCCAGTCGTCTGATTCCTGCTGTTCTGGTTTTGCTTTAACGGTCTGCAAAGCTTCGGACTCCCAGTCGCGCTCTTCCCACGAGTCTCCTACCTCTTCGACACCATTGCCAGCTCTTTTTGGACCTGCCACTGCGGCTGTAGACAGCGCAGCACGCGCTTGCAGGAAAGAGGCTGGCAGTGAGAAGCTCATTGTCATGGAAGAGTCTGAGATGACACTCGGTGAGCTCCTTGGAGCCCCCGCAGGCCGCGTCAAGACCTCCATCGTATGCAAGGCCGCCATTTTGGTCAAGTTTTATGACAGTGATTGGTGGACGAAATTACCTGATAAAAGTATTTGACACAATTTGCACTCCAAATTTCGTGAGTGATGGTTCAGGCTGTACCCATTTACATGTATTCTCTGATTGTTGTTGTTCAATGCAACAATGGACTTTGTGGAGACAGATCGTGCTGTGTATTTCTACGGCCAGCGCGATGCAAAGTTTGGATTTCTGAGCAACTTCCACCCGTGCGAGTTCATGGACACAGAAGGTCGGCGGTTTTACTCGAGCGAGCAGTATTTCATGAAGCGGAAGCAGGAAATGTTCGACCCTGCCAATGGAAAGCTAGCGATCGCCCTCTTACGAGCAAAAGCTCCTGCAGCGGCAAAGAAACTCGGGAGACAGGTGTAAAACTACGACGACCGAGTGTGGGGTGAACACCGATACGAAATTATGCTTAAGGCACTGAAGCTCAAATTCTCAGCCAAACTCTTGGCGACGAGTGACAAAAGTTTGTACGAGGCCTCACGGCATGATGCCATCTGGGGCATCGGTCTGAGCGTGGCCAGCGTGGCGACCATGTTTCGCGAGAGTGAATCATTTCGACGTACGGGAAACGTCGATGCCGAAACGCGCGACTTGTGCTTTGGCAAGAATCTTCTGGGTAATGCGTTGGTGGAAGCCCGTGCTTGGCTCCGAGACTACAGTAAGTGTGACACTAAAACTCTGCTTCTAGCTGGATATTCGGATATAGTTGTCGCTTGTTATCTGTCGAATTCGCTTTTCGCTGTTTTCCAAATCTGACTTCATACATGTATCCCCAGTCTGACACCCATTTTTTAGTCGCGCGAGTTATAGTGAATCCGTTAAAGGAGATGAGGCAGATATTAATGTAGGGCAATCACTTTTATAAGTAGTGAGTGAGTGTGACTCGTACATGTATCTCCGTAGTAAATTTTAGAAGGATTCTAGCCAAAATTCACAAGCAAAATTACTTTAAACGCGCGTTCCGAGCGCAGCGAAGGCGGCGTCGATTGGCTAGAATCGAATTATGTTGTGTACACACTGTATGTGGTCAACACATCGTACTTAAAATGTACCGCTCAAATTTCATTTTGCTTTCATTTTCAGCTGCGGTATGCGAGGCCACGCGAAGGGCGCTGCCTGTGTACGCGTTAGTTAGCTGAATTAAAAGGCGCCGATGAGCACACACGTTCTCTATCGTCGTAGGTGCTGTTGATAAAATTTGTAGGCTTCGGTGACTCATACTTCGGCCTCAATCAGAACATTAGTACTTATTGGTTTAAATATGATTTGATTTGCTTCGTAGTAGGTTTGTAATAATTTAACTTACAGTACTGTTTTGCGTAGTACTATTCTTAAGACATTTCATATTTTTGCTTGCAGTTATTTGTAGTAGTAGTCCACATAACTATTATGTTAACGTTTATAATAAATCACACCTCTACTACTACTATTAATAATTGATACTTTAGGATGTGAAAACTTTAAAATATGACTATTATGACTTCCCACCCGACACCCCCCTGCACCCCACACTGCCCCCGGGAAAGTATCATCTTCCTCTGTATTTGCACACGACCGTAAGATATTGTGTGATCTTTCCAACAATATATGTTGTGTACATCAAACAAAATCGGAACAGTGTTTGTGATCAAGTTTGCGCGGAGGCACGCGACTCAGCAAGAACACGAAAAACGATGGGATAGAAGAGCAACACGAAGCACGGAACGTCATGGACGATGATAGAAGATTTAGCCGATGCAAACCACGAAGTGTTTTACGTAGCGTGAAAGATGGAAGTGCACGCAGCCATGGAAAGAACAGAAGAACGAGAATATGACGGGAGCGTACGGGCCACGGAAGGGAACTAAATACATAGACACCCCAGCATGCTGAAATGCACGGCTACGGAAGAGCACGCAACTTCGAAGCCACTGTAGAGCACGTAGCGGTAAGAGTGCACGGACAGTAATTCTCCCATAGCACCACGGTACAACACGGAGCACAGTTGACCGACCAAACGTGAAAACGCGATGTACCATAAACGGAAGATCATCCGAGCATTGGAGCCCGATATTAGGGTAGAATCGGAGCTCACCGAGTCCGACAGCACGACACTACGGTAGCTAACGATCTCACGGACGACAGACCAACCGCAACATCGCAAGCTAACACGATAGCATGGACTGTGCCACTAAGCCATAGGGGAGCACAGCCACAGGAGCTATAGACGGGAGATCTTTGAGCCACGGAGCACGATACCAGCGTAGAAGCTCAGCCCCCCGAGCCACGGAGGACAGTAGCACATTAAAACTCGATTGCACGGACGGCAGACCAGCCACGAAAATCACGGGGGTGCTTGGGGTGACCACGATTGCACACCGTGGAGTACGAAGCCCATGTAGAGCACGATAACACGGGCAACGCAGATGCACTACGCGAGCACCATACCATAGACAGCATTACCACACCGTGATTGCACGATAGCGTGATTCCGCGGTCGATGACACTTCATCAGGAGATCACGATGCACGGGCGACGGAACCACACGACTGCATGGAGGCACCAAAGCACGGAATAGCACCCTTTGGTTAGAGCACCGGCGATGGAAGGCCAATGGTAACGAAATAGTATCTACCACGAAGCCAGTGCAACCCACGTAAACGTTTGAGAGCGGAAAACAGTTAGCTTTAACGAAAAGACCGTACTAAAGAGCATGAACCCACAAGAGAGAGGACAGAACCGCTGAGCAGCGTGGGCCATGGGTGAGCAGGAACCTCGAAGCCGGGAAGAGCACGAAAGAGCATGGACCATTGAAGAAAACAACACCCAACCTGTAGTACGGGGTAACGGAAACGTTCCAAACCACGATATTATACGGGGCCGAATGAGACTACGGAAGGCAAGTGGTTAAATACACGATGCCAAGATCTACGGGGTGAACCACGCTCTCAAAACACGCGACACCAAGAAGCACTAAGGTTGCGGCCACCTCATCTCCAACAAACCATGCCACTCCGCCGCGTAGCGGCGGCGAACGGCTAGTCTTACCCCTCTAGTGGAGTCTGGTGTCTGTCCGTCCGTCAGTCCGTCCGTAACGGGCTAGGGTTAATAATCCTCACGCTAATACGCGCGTTCTACTGGCTGCCGAGCGCAGCGAAGGCGGCGTCGATTGGCTAGAATCGAATTATGTGGTGCACACACTGTATGTGGTCAACACATCGTACTTAAAATGTACCGCTCAAATTATATTTTGCTTTTATTTTCAGCTGCGGTATGCAAGGCCACGCGAAGGGCGCTGCCTGTGTACGCGTTAGTTAGCTGAATTAAAAGGCGCCGATGAGCACACACGTTCTCTATCGTCGTAGGTGCTGTTGATAAAATTTGTAGGCTTCGCTGACTCATACTTCGGCCTCAATCAAAACATTAGTACTTATTGGTTTAAATATGATTTGATTTGCTTCGTAGTAGGTTTGTAATAATTTAACTTACAGTACTGTTTTGCGTAGTACTATTCTTAAGCCATTTCATATTTTTGCTTGCAGTTATTTGTAGTAGTAGACCACATAAGTATTATGTTAACGTTTATAATAAATCACACCTCTACTACTACTATTAATAATTGATACTTTAGGATGTGAAAACTTTAAAATATGACTATTATGACTTCCCACCCGACACCCCCCTGCACCCCACACTGCCCCCGGGAAAAGTATCATCTTCCTCTGTATTTGCACACGACCTTAAGATATTGTGTGATCTTTCCAACAATATATGTTGTGTACATCAAACAAAATCGGAACAGCGTTTGTGATCAAGTTTGCGCGGAGGCACGCGACTCAGCAAGAACACGAAAAACGATGGGATAGAAGAGCAACACGAAGCACGGAACGTCATGGACGATGATAGAAGATTTAGCCGATGCAAACCACGAAGTGTTTTCCGTAGCGTGAAAGATGGAAGTGCACGCAGCCATGAACAGGACAGAAGAACGAGAATATGACGGGAGATTACGGAACAAAGAAGAAAACTAAATACATAGACACCCCAGCATGCTGAAATGCACGGCTACGAAAGAGCACGCAACTTCGAAGCCACTGTAGAGCACGTAGCGGTAAGAGTGCACGGACAGTAATTCTCCCATAGCACCACGGTACAACACGGAGCACAGTCGACCGACCAAACGTGAAAACGCGATGTACCATAAACGGAAGATCATCCGAGCATTGGAGCCCGATATTAGGGTAGAATCGGAGCTCACCGAGTCCGACAGCACGACACTACGGTAGCTAACGATCTCACGGACGACAGACCAACCGCAACATCGCAAGCTAACACGATAGCATGGACTGTGCCACTAAGCCATAGGGGAGCACAGCCACAGGAGCTATAGACGGGAAATCTTTGAGCCACGGAGCACGATTCCAGCCTAAGAAGCTCAGCTCCCCGAGCCACGGAGGACAGTAGCACATTAAAACTCGATTGCACGGACGGCAGACCAGCCACGAAAATCACGGGGGTGCTTGGGGTGACCACGATTGCACACCGTGGAGCACGAAGCCCATGTAGAGCACGATAACACGGGCAACGCAGATGCACTACGCGAGCACCATACCATAGACAGCATTACCACACCGTGATTGCACGATAGCGTGATTCCGCGGTCGATGACACTTCATCAGGAGATCACGATGCACGGGCGACGGAACCACGACTGCATGGAGGCACCAAAGCACGGAATAGCACCCTTTGGTTAGAGCACCGGCGATGGAAGGCCAATGGTAACGAAATAGTATCTACCACGAAGCCAGTGCAACCCACGTAAACGTTTGAGAACGGAAAACAGTTAGCTTTAACGAAAAGACCGTACTAAAGAGCATGAACCCACAAGAGAGAGGACAGAACCGCTGAGCAGCGTGGGCCATGGGTGAGCAGGAACCTCGAAGCCGGGAAGAGCACGAAAGAGCATGGACCATTGAAGAAAACAACACCCAAC